CAGAGGCTTGCCACAATGACAGTGACCAGCGCCCTGCCTTGGTCTGGTGCCCCTGCTCACCTGCTCCACCATCCTGCCATAGCCAACACCTGCCATGTTCTGCACATGCTCCCTGGTGGTCAGCACATGTCACAGCGACCAGTTGTTCGGTTGTTCGGTTATTCCGGTTGTTATGCCGTTCATTCTATTTGCATATTAGCCTTTTATTATATAGGATGACATGCTGACCCACTGTCATCAGGCCTTGATTTTTGGGTTATTTTCCCAATAGTGATGATAGCTGTGCTCTTTCTTTCAACATTTTCCTGTCTCTTTTCCCTGGAACCAATAACAGCCATTTATAAAATAACTGATACGGTTTGTACTCTACTTGGTGGCCAGAGAACAGGATAAAATAATTGGTCCAGTGGATGTGAAATGTATGACCTGGACAGACTGATTGAATGATGCACCTGTGAATTAGGGGAAACATATTTCATCCTTATCTGCTAGTAGCTTCTCCTACTTCACCTGTACTCTCATAGTCATTTTAAGCATTTCCTTTTCCATTTTTACTCTGCTTTTACCAACTGGATACCTATGGCTTTTTTAATGTCCATTATCCATTATTTCTGACTGGGCTAGATAATCGCCCATGGTTAGTGTAAATATAAAGCCAGAATATACTAGGTACACTTTCTTTCCACAGATGGCTGGATCAAGGGGAAGATGATGGTAAAATTGTCAGAGAACTCTATGCCAGGGATAACAATATCATCTCTGCAAGTGAGTGTCATGTACACACATTTCTTGAAGAACTCTAGTGTATTATGATTGAGGAAAGCATGACACTGCTGAAATTAATGGCCCTCTCTTTCCTTTATATCCTCAGGGCAGAAGCTAGAACGTAATAGAAAGGAAACAGTAAGATTTTACTTTTGGCTTTAAAAATTATTTGGTAGAGTGTTCAAATAGCTAATTGATGTGTTAAAAGAAAACAGTATATAATGTTTAGTAAGGGGTGTTTCTTAGTAATGTCCTTCTCTTTGTCTTTCATATTGATATTTTTTTTTGTTTTGTTTTCCTGTTTAGTGGGCTGCAGAAAGCTGGAAGTTTATGAAGGGAAATACCCTTCAATTCTACAACAAGCTTACTGGAGGGTTTGTCCGTCTGCATCCAGATGGCATAGTTGATGCAGTTGGAGAGAAGACAGACAAATATGGTAAAATCACTGGGCAAAGCATGTGGTGCTGTGGCAGTTTTGGGAGCTGGAAAAAGGCAGATTTCTAGACCTAGTTTAATTTACAGTTTTGCTTCTTCTTTTTCAGATGTCTTTATACCAGTATTGGGTCATTTAAATAATTCACTATCTGCCTTAATACAAATGATCAATAGATGACAGGCTTTAAATCTGGGCAGAAAATGTCATTGACCAGTACATTACACCATGAAAATCATATTTGATACTACTAAATTGAAGATGAAAATGTAGGCAATCCTATATAATAAAAGGGTAATATGCAAATTGACCCTAACAGCAGAACCACTGGGAATGACTGGTCACTATGACACACATAGACCACCAAGGGGCAGATGCTCAATGCAGGAGATGCCTCCTGGTGGTCAGTGCGCTCCCACAAGAGGGAGCTCTGCTCAGCCACAAGCCAGTCTGACGGCTGCCAGCACAGCGGTGGTGACGGGAGCTTCTCTTGTCTCCTCAGTAGTGCTAAGGATGTCTGACTGCAGCTTAGGCCTGCTCCCTGCTGGCAAGTGGACATCCCCCGAGGGCTCCCGGGCTGCCGGAGGGATGTCTGACTGCCAACTTAGGCTCGATCCCCTGGGGAATGGGCCGAAGCCAGCAGGTGGACATCCCCCGAGGGGTCCCAAACTGTGAGAGGGCACAGGCTGGGCTGAGGGACCCCCCCAAGTGCACAAGTTTTTGTGCACTGGGCCTCTAGTTAACATTATAATTGTTCATAGAAAGCCACAGTTTAGCTCTTACACAGTGTGGCCATTTAAGGAATTAAGTTGGTTCTACTCAATACTGAGTGCCTATCCTGTTCAAAACATAATGTTAAATAATTTGATGGCCACAGAAATAACTAAGACAGTATTCTGAATTCCAGAGATTCCAGAGATTCAAAATGTAATGAGGAAGACAAAATTTAATAACATCCCACACCTTATAATGTCCAGGATTACCTAGAAATATGCATCAACATGATTTAATTTTATGAAGATCCTTAATGTTTAGCCATTAAGGTGAATTTAATTAAGTAGACAAAAATAAGTTAGAGCTTAATTAGGCAGAAAGCCTTCCATTTGGAGTGATTTGTTGAACTAATATGCAAGTCCTTCACTTTTGGAAATATAACTTTAAATTAATATAAGAGAATTTCAATATACAGTGAAATCCTTTTAAAATTTGGAATAGTAGAATTAATCTCTTTATCAGACCTGATTCTTAACTAAAAACTTTTGCCAATGAATTAATTGAAATAAAAATATAAAGGTAGCCCTAGTTGGTTTGGGTCAGTGGATAGAGTGCCAGCCTGAGGACTGAAGGGTCCCAGGTTTGATTCAATCAAGGGCACATGTTCTGGTTGCAGGCTCAATCCTCAGTAGGGGGCATGCAAGAGGCAGCTAATCAATGATTCTCTCGCATCACTGATGTCTCAATCTCTCTCTCCCTCTCCCTTCCTCTCTGAAATCAATAAAAATATATTTAAAAATATATAAAGATAGAATTCATTCATTGCACTTGTTAACTCTAGATGAATATACACATATAAGGTGAATAAGTAAAGCAAATATATAAATAATTCCATGTTAAAAATTAGGATTTAGGGAACCTAAATCACACAATAACTACCATAATTCTGCTTCATTTGTTAATATGTTGACTAAGCCCAAAGTTTTGAGTTAATACAAAATGGGCTATATTGACAGTGGTGAAGAAGGAAAGATTGGTGTATTTTATTTTTATTTTTAAAATATATTCTTATTTATTTCAGAGAGGGAGAGGGAGAGAGAGAGAGATTGAAACATCAATGATGAGAATCATTGATTGGCTGCCTCCTGCATGCCCCCTAGTGGGGATTGAGCGCACAACCCAGGCATGTGCCCTGATGGGGGAATTGAACCTTGACCTCCTGGTTCATAAGTTGACACCAGCCTGGCAGATTGCTTTATTTTAGAAAATCTAACTTTGTAACCATGGAACCATTTTATAGATATTATATGATGTACATTGCATATTTTATATTAGATACATTATTTTATATTATGTATAAATATTTATATGCACATACACACCACACAGACAAACCTCAGCAACTCATTAGGAAATGAAATAAGTCATGGCTCAAGAAATCACCTATTTTAAAATCATGTTATGGGAGAGAACTTAGTGATGAACTAAAAGAGGGGGGTTGAACTCAAAGGGATGGTTAAAACTTGGGGCTTACATAGCATTTTAAAAAGAACAATAATTTTATAGAGAAGTGACAAGACAAAGGAAAAGGTCTTTGAGGTCCTAGGGGCTGCCAACTCTGGGAAGGATGTATTTGGGGAAGCTAATGCGAGGTAAGAGCTAATTAGTGAGACTTGTGTCATCTCTTTCTCAGTGCTACATGTTTCTAGTCATAAGATTGTTATCCCCTTCTTGTTGGGGAAGTGGGGTTGGGAGATACCTTCACAAAATAAATCTATGTTCTGCTTTTAGGCTGATAGAGTGGGGGATAAGGAGTTCATACTGTGTCTTTTCTTTTCTCAGTTGCCTTCAGCTCAAAATAATCTTTGTGCCATAAGGGCATACTTTTGGGGTGGCATACTCTGAACCCTTTCAGTAATATCCATGTGCAGAAAAAATACACATATTTTAATATGAATTTTTACAAACTGAACATGCCCATGTAACTGGAACCCAGATCAAGAAATAGAACATAACCAGCACTCCAGAAACAATCTCGTGCCTCTCTCTAGTCACTCTCCCCCCAAAGGTAACCATTACCTTGCCTCCTAAGACCCTGGGATAGTTCTGTCTGTTTTTGTGCTGTATTTAATAAAACCAACAATGCATATTCTTTTATATCTGGCTTGTTTGACTCATCATTGAGAACCAGCTGTTTGTAAAAGCAAAAATGGCCTTCATTTATTGTTGTTACAAGAGTGGATTCCTGAAAATTTGTTGGCTGTAAGTACTAAAGGAAGGATTATTGGTAATGCAAAGAATGTTGGACTAAGACCTGAAGTCCTGGTTCCATTTCTATTCTATGACTACGTAGGGGTCTTGGGAAAGTCCCTTACCTCTCTGTATCTCAGTTTCCTCACTTGCCAAATGGGGATTAACTGTGAGTGCGAGTGCGTGTAGTTTTGTATTTATAGGCTAATGGGGACCTAAGTTAACTAATATATCTAAAGGATATTTCTTGAGCACTCACTATGTTCTAGGAACTCTTCTAAGTGCTGCCATATAGCTGTGCACAGAGTAGACAAAAATTTATGCCTCAAAAGCTTAAATTTTAAGATAAAAGGTATATAAAAGTACATTGAGAACTAAAAACCATCAAATACATGATGAAAGAATCTTTGTCATCACAATCATATGAACCAGTCATTAATGCCCAAATCATATGTAATTACTTTGGTAATGCATAATTTTATTTTACCCCAAATCTCTGAGATTTATAGAAGGGTAAGGGTTTTTTTACACTAGCATTATTTATCTTCCTGGGACCACCAGTGGTTATTTTTGGGGGTGGGGGTGGGGGAGGCTTATCTCAGGAGTTTACCAATTAGCATGGGAAGGCATTAAAGATTTTCCATGAACATTCCACCAAATTGCCAAGCAAGATATAGATAATCAAAGGCTACTGGCATTCTTCCTTTTCACTAATTAACAAAAATTTAACTGAGAGATATTATTAGGAGATTTCAATGTATAATTAAGTAAGAAAAAAATCCTTAAAACTATGAATTAATTGCTATACTTGAAATGTTTTCCAGGTCTCTTTGATGTTATTTTCAACAAAGGAAATATATGCATATTCCAAAGTCATGAAATAAGGCATCTTTCTCTTGCTGTTAACAATGGCTTTGTCACTGGAATGGTAGGTAGTAATTTTTCCTTTTGTCATATATCAATAGTATTTATTGTATTTATATATAACATATTTTTGCATAAGGTACTTTTATAAGATTATCAAATTGTATTTCCTTTGGTTTTTACTTTCACTTTCTTCATTCTGTTTTATCTCACTAATTTTTGAGATTCTAATGCATACATGCTCCTAAATGTCTATAATTAGAATTTAGACCAAAACCAAAAAGTAGACCACTTCTCTGATAACATTCAAAATTTTGGTAAGCCTCCCAAAGGAGACAATCTAACTTGTCAAAGACCCTTTCAGTGTTACTATTATTAGGAAACAGAATCAATAATTTCATGTAATTATGCTTTGTATTGCTTAGTTTGTGCTTGAAATGCACAAATATAGAAAGCTATCTTTAAAAATCCATGCATATTATGTATTTTGAAAAGTGAGACATTACTGTCATATACTGTCTTATGTGCTTAATAGGTGTTATAAATTTTAATCTTTACATCTACCATATGAGAGAATCCATTATTACACCAATTTAACAGAAGAGGAACCTGAAGTATAGGAGGATTAAGTGAGCTGCCCAAAGCCACAGAGCTAGTAAGTGGGAAAGCAGGAATTGAACACAGGCCATTGGACTTCAGCTCTCACCTGACAGCTTCCTCATATCTATATAATAAAGAGCCAGGGTAATAACAACCAAAGGCTCAACCAGACCAGAAGTCAGTGCTGGGTTTCCCCGGCGACCCAGCACTGACTGCCTAGGGGGCTGAGGATCAGGCCCGGAGAGAAGCCTGCAGAGAGAGAGGCAGGGTCTGATCTGTAGCCCCTGTGGCAGCCGTTGATCAGAACTTGCCTCTCTTTCTCTCCCAGCCTGGCCAACAGCCACGTCTCCATTTCTCTCTAGGCCTCCACCCGGCTGCTGATGCCTTTTTGATCAGGCCCTGTGGATAGGCCCAGAGATGCTGACTGGAATAGAAACTGACCAATCAGAACCAAATCTGTGTGAATGTAAGGAGCCAATGGCTACAT